AGGGTCTGGGACACAGCGGGAGAAAAACGAAGAACAAAATTCAAATTCACAAAAAAAGACCAGACTTACTGGTCTGATGGTGAATGGAGGAACCCCTGAGACTATGGTCCTCGGGTGCCCTGCTAACTCAGAACTGAAGTTACTCTCGAAAGTTTACCTTTCAGCCAAAGATTAGACAGACCTATAAAACAATAACACACGTGAGGAATGTGCTTCTTAGTTCAATCAAGTATACCAGATCAAATGGGCAACACCTGCCCAAAAGCAATGACAAGAAGGCAGGAAGGGACAGGAAAACTGGATGAATGGACACTGAGAACCCAGGGTGGAAAAGGAAAGGGGGAGAGTACTGACACATTGTGAGGATTACAACTAATGTCACAACCCACAACAATTTGTGTATAAAATTTTTGAATGAAAAACTAATTTGCACTGTAAACTTTCACCTAAAACACACACACACACACACACAAAAAAAACTCTCAACAAGATAGGAATAAAAGCGAAGTTCCTCAATATGATTAAGGGTATTTACGAAAAATCAACAGCAAACATTATACTGATAGAAAATAATTGCGAACTTTCCCCTTGAAATTGGGAAGAAGACAAGGATTCCGACTCTCATCACTCCTATTCAACACTGTACTGGCAGTCCTTGCCAGAGCAATATGACAAGAAAAAGAAATGAAAGGTATCCAAATTAGAAAGGAAGAGGTAAAACTATCTCTATTTGCAGATGATACGATCCTATATACAGGCAGTCCCTGACTTACGATGTATTCAAGTTATGATGAACTGCACTTAATGACCATCTGGATGTTTTCTGTACATCTTATCGTTAGTAATATGTACTACATACAATGTTGAAATATATTTGTAAGTTTATATGTAATATTTCCAAATCCTAAAGACAAATAAAGATAGGATTTATAAAGATACTGATAATAAAAGGCAATAATAATGAAACCTTAAAAAAAATGAGGTATTCGACTTACGTCAGAACCGACTTTACGACAGAGTTGTTGGAATGCAACCCTATCCTACGTTGGGGGCTACCTGTATAGAAAATCCCAAAGAATCTACTAAGAAGCTGGTAGAACTAATAGAGGAATTTAGCAAAGTTGCAGGATTCAAGGTCAACACAAAAACCAGTTGGGTTTCTATACACTAGCAATGAGAAATCTGAAAAGGAGATTAATAACTCCATTTACAATAGCATCTAAGAGAATAAAACATCCAGGAATAAATTTACCTAGGGATGTGACAGACATATACAATGAAAATTAGAAAACACTGTTGAAAGAGACTAAAGAAGACCTAAATAGATGGAAAGACATTTCGGCTCGTGAATTGTAAGACTTAATATAGTCAAGATGTCAATACTACCCAAAGGGATCGACAGATACAACGCAATGCTGATCAAAATTCTAACAGCATTCTTTACAGAAATGGAAAGAGGGCTGAGAGGTCAAGGAACCAGGAAGCAGAAGCTGAAGAGACAAGGAACACAGGAAGCAGAGCTGCCTGTCTCAAAGGGAAGGGCCATGACTTCTAGGGTCTCAAAGGGTGGAGTCATCACTAAGATGGAATAGGAGAATGGGGCCGCCCAAATTCGAGGGAGCAGAGTTGCTGTTCCAGTGGGCCTGGAAGGTGGAGCTGGAGCCCAGGGCCTTCACTAAGAATCCAGAGTGTGGCCAATACCCAGAGTCTGGAGGGCAGGGGCACTGCCAAAATGGTCTCAGAAAGGAGAGGATTATTTTCAAGCCTTGAGAGCTAATGTAATGTGTTCTGCTGACTTGCTTGGTGCCTGTTATCCCTTCTTTCCCTCCAATTTCTCCCATTTGTGATGGAAATGTCTAGCTTGTGCCTGCCTGTTGCACCATTGTACTTAGGAAGCAGATAACTCGTATTCTAGATTTCACAGATGATGAGGAATTTTTGGATTTTGGACTTGGAGTTGATATAAGACTTCTGCTATGATATGATGGGGTGAATGTCTTTTACATGTGGCAAGGACATGAATTTTGGGGGGTCAGTGGGTGGAATGAATGTATGTCAACTTGGCTAGGCCATGATTTCCCAGTATTGTGTGATTGTCCACCATTTTGTCATCTAATGTGATTTTCCTATGTGTTGCAAATCCTACCTCTATGATGTTAATGGGGCAGGATTAGTGGCAGTTATGTTAATGAGGCAGGACTCAACCTACAAGATTAAGTTGTGTCTTAAGTCAATCTCTTTTGAGATGTAAGAGACGCGAGCAGAGAGACAGGGGACCTCATACCACCAAGAAAGCAGCACTGGGACCAGAGCGTGTCCTTTGGACCTGGGGTTCCTGCACTGAGAAGTTCCTAGACCAGGGGAAGACTGATGACAGGACCTTCCTCCAGAGCTGACAGAGGCAGAAAGTCTTCCTCTGGAGCTGGCGCCCTGAATTTGGACTTCTAGCTTACTACACTGTGAGAGAATAAACTTCTGTTTGTTGAAGCCATCCACTTGTGGTATTTATGTTAATGCAGTCCTAGATAACTAAGAGTGGTTAACAGGGATGGGGTGGGGAGAAGACAAGGATTCACTTCTAGGTAGTTGATACTTGTTAATTTTGGTGATGGGAAAGGTAACACCAAATGTGAACGAAGTGTGCACAGCCTGACGAAGGTAAATGATGTCACTAAAATGTACACAAGAAAAAAGGTCCTTTTAGTAATTGCTATGGCATATATAAGGAGCCCTAGTGGTACAGTGGTTAAGTGCTTGGCTGCTAACCAAAATGTCAGCAGCTTGAATCTACCAGCAGCTCCATAGGAGAAAGATATGGCAGTCTGCTTCCATAAAGATTACAGCCTTGGAAACCCTATAGGGCAGTTCTACTCTGTCCTATAGGGTCGCTATGAGTCAGAATTGACTTGATGGCAATAGGTTTTTTTTTTTTTTTTCTAGGCGGGAAATGGTTTCGTCTTTATTCATGAAAGGGGTGTGGGTTTCTGGGAAAAGGGTGTGTCAGGTGCGTGCGCAAGAGGTAATTCAAGATGGAACCCGTACCAAAGGCTCCTGGGACTGGATGGCAGGACTTATTATGGGGTGCCGCACCGGCAGTTTGTAATAGGGTTTTTTTAATTATGGCATGTATAATTTGGAACAACAGTAACAACAACCAAAAAATATATGTGTGGGTATATATGTATGTATGTAGACAAATATGTGTAGAGGTATGTAGAAACCCATTGTTGTCAAGTTGATTCCGACTCATAGCGACCCTACAGGACAGAGTAGAACTGCCCCATAGGGTTTCCAAGGAGTGGCTGGTGAATTTGAACTGCTGACCTTTTGGTTAGCAGCCAAACACTTAACCACTGTGCCACCAGGGCTTCATAGGTATGTCTATGTGAGTATATATGTGTGTATATATAGACGGGAGCCCTGGTGGTGCAGTGGTTAAGAGCTATGGCGAACTATGGCTGCTATCTTGAGACCAGAAGAACTAGGTGGTGTCCGACTACTACTACTGACCATTCTGACCAGGGCCATAATAGATGGATCCTGATAGAAAGAGAGAAAAATGTGGAACACAACCTCAAATTCCTAAAAAAAGAAAAAAAAAAAGGACTTACTGGACCGGTTGAGACTGGAGGACTCCCTGAGACTACTGCTCTGAGATACTCTTTATTCTTGAACCGTAACTAGCCCCTGATGTCACCTTTTACCTAAATAACAGATTAGCTCACAAAACAAAGACTATCACCCATGAGTACTGTACTCCTTTAAAAAATCACGTATATGAGAACGGTCAACAATTACTTTAAAACAAAGATGAGAATGTAAGTGGGCAGGGAAAGTAGATTAATGGAAACAGAACAAGAAGAATGGAAATACTGATAATGTTCACACATTGGGAAAATGTAACCAATGTCACTAAAAAATTTGTGCAGAAATTGTTGAATGGGAACCTGAACTGCTATGTAAACCTTCACCGAAAACACAATATTACTTAAAACAAAAAACAAAAAAAAAACCTCATGGATGCATAACCTGCTGGGGTGCTGAGAAACTATCTTCTAAAATGGGAAACTAAGGTCTCTAGGTGAAATCGCTGTTTTGTTGGCATAATGTGAAATTAAATGCAGCCAAAGGAGAGAATGCAGCATGTTAAAAGAATCACTGCTAAGAATCATATAGTTGTGTTGGTCAAGTTTTATTTTTGAAGCAGTCAGAGCCCTGGTGGTGCAGTGGTTAAGCGCCCAGCTGCTAAATGAAACCCACCAGCTGCTCTGCGGGAGAATGATGTGGCAGTTGGCTTCCGTAAAGATCACAGCCTTGGAAACCCTATGGGGCAGTTCTACTCTGTCCTATAGGGTCTCTATGAGTTGGAATTGACTTGCCGGCAATGGGGTTTTTGGTTTTAGAGCAGGTGGACAGTACTTACAATATCCTTTATGCTTTTTTGTATGTCATAAATATTGCCTTTTAAATTAAAAAAAAGCAGAGACACAGAGGTTGGCCCTGGAAGGTACAGTCATAATGTAACCCATGCATTTGAAGATGCAGGAATGATTACATATATCTTTTTATGTGGGTATCTCTCCCCTTTACCAACACTTGGTGAATGGCTGCTTAGTCTAGTACAAATACCTAGAGAAGAACTGAATGCCTTTGTTCCTCCAATAAATGTTTATTTAAAAAAAAAAGGAGTTTATGTTGTTATGCACTATGTTAAGTGCCACTGAGTTGATTTTGACTCATAGCGACCCCATGTGACAGAGTAGAATTGCCCCATACAGTTTTCTAGGCTGTGATCTTTATAGGAGCAGATTGCCAGGTCTCTCCCGCAGAGCTTTCAGTCCGCAGCTGACTGCTTAACCATTGTGCCACTAGGGCTCCACTGTACTATCTTAAGCATCTAAAAAACAATTCGTATCCTGGAAAATCAAAGTTGGCTAACTTGTAAAACAAGTGTTGTCCCAGGAACTTATTTTATGATTCTCATGTACTAATCTGTTGATTTGATGCCTAGTATTTTCAGTTGCATGAATAGTGTAAGCTGATATCTGGCTTCCCTACAGATGGTTTCTGAATTAATTTATGGGACATACTGAAAATCAGATAGTGTAGCTCTAGGAGAAAAGGGAGTACAGGTTAGAGTTGGCTTGACTTTGAGAACTACTGACTGAACACCTACTGCATTAAATACTAACTTACACCCACCCTATTTTGCACCTATAAACTCACACTGACACAGCTGATAAAATACAAGGATTATTCAATACCTTATAAAGAGATATACAGAATGTATATAATTTATTCAGTCTTTCATATGATTTTATTTTCTCCCTTCAACCATAATAATGTGATATCCAAATTTTGTCTTAACTGGAGGGTCTGTAAACACAGGCTTATCCAGCCCACTTACAGGCAAGGCAAATGCAGCTTCTTGAAATGGTCCTACCATGGACCCTCTGGTCATCCAGCCCAAGTCGCCCTGAAAAACCAAAAAGATAATGTGATGTCAACTGGCCCAAAGAGGGGACAGTTCTATTGTAACTTGAGAGAATTTCCCAACATGAATGCTAAGGGTATAGGTTTATTCATCTGGGCTATAAAGGAATAGGGTCAACAAGGACAAATAGGCAGAAGAGGTCTAACCCTAAACTGAACACATAAGCACTTATAATAATTGGTGGACTTTTAAGTTAGCTGTACAAATTTGGTCATGTCTAAGTTTAGACAGATGTAGCCCTTAATTAACTGTTCAAAAATGAAACATGTCTGCTTTTAAGATTTTAAAACCAAGATAAGGCTAAAATTAATGGCAGAACATAGAAATAGTCTCCATTTCTGTTTCCTCTGTGGGGGACAAATAATTTTAAAAGATAAGAGCACCATACCCCTTGCCTGGCTTTATCTTCACTATATTGTGCAGCCACTTCATTGAATCTCATTCCAGACTTTAACTTTTCCATGGCTTCCATAATTCTACCGTGTTTTTCACATAGAATGTGTCTGACCTGCAAAGAAAAAGCACATACACATAATATTTTTTGAGACCCAAATGATTCCTTTCCTCTCAGTACAGCAATTAAGTCTGGATTACCCGATCAATGAAAAATACCTTAGCTCGTGACAACTGAAAATCCTAGAAGTTTGCCCACTTAGGTGATGGCCACAGCCCCATTTCCCCTATCAAAACAATACCTCAGTGCCCCGATTTAGCTGGAAAATGAGCATCCGGATGTGGGAAGCTCCCATCTTTTACAATGTATCTCAATGGTAACGGGAAGAGGAAAGGGATGACAATGGTTAAGAGTTTGGGTCCTGGAGTCAAATCCCAAGCATGCTGTATGATCTTAGGCAAGTATCTAAACCACTAAGTATTTCCCCATTTGTGCACTAGAGATGACAACAGTATCTATGGGTTCTCATAGGGTTGTGAAGGTTGAGATAATGCAGCTAGCATTCAATAAATGTTAGTGATTATTTCATCTAACTGGGGATGATATAAAAAAACACACTAAGAAATATTCTTTAACAAAAGAGGCCCAATGTAGATTGTAAAATGGTACTACCACTGTGGAAAACAGTTTAGTGGTTCCTCAAAAATTTAAACATAGAATCACCATGTTGTTGTTGTGTGCTGTCGAGTCGATTCCAACTCACAGTGACCCTAGAGAACAGAGTAGAACTGCCCCATGGGGTTTCCTAAGCTGTAATCTTTAGGGGAGCAGATGGCCAGGTCTTTTCTCCTGTGGAGGGGCTGGTGGGTTTGAACCACTGACTTTTGGTTAGCAGCCAAGAGCTTGGTTAGCAGCCAAGAGCTTAACCATTGCACCACTAGGACTTAGAATTACCAGCAATTCCACTCTTCCAGAAACGCAAACACAAACAGATACTTGTACACCAAAGTTCACTGCAGCACTATTTACAATAGCCAAAAGGTGGAAAACAGCCTACATGTCCATGAACAGATGAATGGATAAACAAAACGTGGTACATACATACAATGGAATGTTGTTGTTGTCAGGTGCTGTCGAGTTGGTTCCAACTCATAGCAACCCTATGAACAACAGAATGAAACACTGCCCAGTCCTGTGCCACCCTCTCGATCGTTGTTATGCTTGAGACCATTGTTGCAGCTACTGGGTCAATCCATCTCATTGAAGGTCTTCCTCTTTTTTGCTGACTCTCTACTTTACCAAGCATGATGTCTTTCTCCAAGGACTGGTCCCTCCTGATAACATGTCCAAAGTATGTGAGATGAAGTCTTGCCATCCTTGCTTCTAATGAGCATTCTGGCTGTACTTCTTTCAAGACAGACTTGTTTGTTCTTCTGGCAGTTCACGGTATATTCAATATTCTTCACCAACAACATAATTCAAAGGCATCAATTCTTCTGTCTTCCTTATTCATTGTCCTGCTTTCGTATGCATATGAGGCAACTGAAAACACCATGGCCTGGGTCAGGCCCACCTTAGTCCTTAAAGTGACATCTTTGCTTTTCAACACTTTAAAGAGATCTTTTGCAGCAGATTTGCCCTATGCAATGCATCATTTGATTTCTTGATTGCTGCTTCCACGGGCGTGGATTGTGGATTCAAGTAAAATGAAATCTCTTTTAATTTTAATATTTTCTCCATTATCATGATGTTGCTTATTAGTGCAGTTGTGAGGATTTTTGTTTTCTTTATGTTGAAGTGTAATCCACATTGGAGGCTGTGGTCCTTGACCTTCATCAGTAAGTGCTTCAAGTCCCCTTCACTTTCAGCAATGTTGTGTCATCTGCATATCGCAGGTTGTTAATGAATCTTCCTCCAACCCTGATGCCACATTCTTCTTCATATAGTCTAGTTTCTCAGATTATTTGCTCAGCATACAGACTGAATAAGTATGGTGAAAGGATGCAACCCTGACACACACCTTTCTTGACTTTAAACCTCGCAGTATCCCCTTGTTCTGTTTGAACGACTGCCTCTTGGTCTAAGTACAGGTTCCTCATGAGCACAATTAAGTGTTCTGGAATTCCAATTCTTCACAATGTTATCCATAATTTGTGGTGGTCCACACAGTCAATATCTATTATGCAGCCAAAAAGGGAAATGAAGTTCTGATACATACTACAACATGGATGAACCTTGAAAACATTTTGCTGAGTGAAATAAGTCAATCAGAAAAGGACAAATATTGAATGATTCCACTTACATGAAATATCTAGGATAAGCAAGTGCATAGTGACCGAAGTTTATCAGTAACCACTGGGATAGGTGGGAGGGGAGGGAAAAGAGGGAGTTACTACTTAGGGGATACTGAGCTTCTGTTAAAGGTCATGGAAAATTTGGAAATAGGTAATGGTGATGGTTGAGCGATATAAAGATAACTAATATCACTGAATTGTACACGTAAAGAATGTTGAAATGGCAAACAATGTTTTTACCACGGTAAAAAAAGGAGGCTCAGTATACAATGTACAAAGCCTCCCCACAATTCACCACTTTGACAAAGTATCATATGTTGAATATTAAGAATGCTCAACCCTTTAAACACTTATGTGCATCAAACGACTTCTCCAAAAGAGTAAAAAGAGAACCTACACACCGGGAAAATATTTTCGGCAATGACATATCTGACAAGGGACTAATCTCTAAAATTCATAGAAAACTTCACCACCTCAACAACAAAAAGACAAACAATCCAATTAAAAAATGGGCATGAATCCAATTAAAAAAGGACATGAACAGGCACTTGACCAAAGAAGACATTCAAGCAGACAACAAACACATGAAGAGATGCTCACGATCATTAGCCATTAAAGAGATGCAAATTAAAACAGCAATGAGGTATCACCTCACCCCCGTAATAATGGCAATGATCAAAAAAACAGAAAACAACAAATGCTGACAAAGGTGTGGAGAGATTGGAACTTTCATACACTTCTAGTGGGAATGTAAAATGGTACAGCCCCTGTGGAATATGGTATGGCGCTTCCTCAAAAAGTTAGAAACAAATACCATAGGATCCAGCAATCCCACTAGTAGGTATATATCCTACAGAAATAAGAGCCATGACACAAATAGATATTATGCACACCCATGTTCACTGCAGCATTATTCACAATAGCAAAAAGATGGAAACAACCTAAGTGCCCATCAATGGATAAATGGATAAACAAACTGTGGTACATACACACAATGGAATACTATGCAACGTGAAAGAATAACAATGAATCTGTGAAACATCTTACAACATGGATGAACCTGGAGGACATCATGCTGAGCAAAATAAGTCAATCACAAAAGGACAAATATTGTATGAGACAACTCTAATAAAAAGCCAAGAAAAGGTTTACACACAGAAATATTCTTCGATGGTTATCAGGGATAGGAAGGGGAGGAAGGGAAAATCACTAACTAGATATAGACATGTATTAACTTGGGTGAAGGGAAAGACAATACACAATATGCAGGAAGTCAGCACAACATGACCAAGGCAAAGGAAGACACTGAGAGGTATGCAAGAGTAGAAGGCAATAACGGTAAATACTATTACATACACAATCCTGCAATAACAGTAATAACAAAGAATTTATGAGTGGCTACATAAGTAGATATGTAAGCTGAACAGGTGTGGGATGGTATACAGGAGTACACTCATAAGCATATATAGGTCTGGCAGAGGATATTTCTACATATGCATTTGTATGTGCTGCAAATATATCCATGTACATAGTACAGCACACAAGGGCCACAGTTATGCAAACTTCTTAGCCATAACCAAATACCTCAAGGGACTAAGTTGCTGGGTTTGAGGGCTTAGGACCATAGTCTAAGTCAACTGGCATAACATAGTCCATAAAGACAATGTTCTACATCCTACTTTGGTGGGTAGCGACTGGGGTCTTAAAAGCTTGTGAGTAGGCATCTGAGATACAACTATTGGTCTCTTCCCATCCAGAGCAAAAAGTGAAGGAAAATCAGTCTCAAGGAAAACAATTAGCCCAAAGGACTAATGGACCACATGAACCACAGCCTCCACTAGCCTGAGACCAGAAGAACTAGATGGTGCCCGGGTACCACTACTGACCCCAGATACCACTACTGACCGCTCTGATCAGGATCACAATAGAAGGTCCTGGACAGAGTGGGAGAAAAATGTAGAACAAAATTCTAATTCATGAAAAAGACTAGACTTACTTGTCTGACAGAGACTGGTAGAACCCCTGAGACTATGGCCCTTAGACATCCTTCAAACCTGGAACTGAACCCACTCCCAGAGATCACCTTTCAGTCAAATAATAGGCCTATAAAGTGAACAATAACACCTGTGAGGAACGTGCTCCTCAGAACAATCAACCATAGGAAACCAGAAGGGCAGCATTTGCCCAAAAGGCAGGAAAGATGGGTGAATGGAAACAGGAAACTCAGGGAGGAAGTTGGTGAAAGGTACACGGGATCTCTCTGTGTAACTTCTTACAACTACATGCAAATCTACAATTATCTGAAAATAAAAAGCTTAATAAAAAAAAATTAACTCTAATCTACTTTCGTACCTTAATTACACTTCTTTGTATACACCCGATGTATAGCTTTACTGAACTTACTTTTTTCCAAGATGCTTTTTTAAAGCCATATGCAGTGGAGGAGTCTCTTAGGTTAGACTGTAAAAGTGAGCACATAGGTGAAAACTGCATATACCCAGAATTACCCTAGAACATTCCTTAAAAATGCCATACTGGAGACCAACATGTCAGCTCTCATTAAGCCTAACAAAACCAGTTCCTGCCACCTACCCCAGTGTTGTTAACAATGGCTACTTCAGGAGAGCATCAGATGAAGTAACTGGGTTGTATTTAGGTTGTTTTATAAAAACTTATCTTTGGATACCAAAATTCCACTTAACATGGTTGGGTACTCATACAAGATTGGAGGCCAACTATGGAAAAGCAGATTCATGTCTGTGATTTCTCTCTCTGGGGCATGTGTTCACTGAGTAGAAAGATGGACAGAATGGCCCACACCATTTATATTATTTTTTGTTTTTTGGCTGCATGTGTATAACTGAATTTGTATGAAGGAATTCCACTAATGCACTTACCATCCAGCACTGAAATTTATTTTTTTACCTAACTGCTCCCCAACAAGAGTAATGACAGGGACCATCTCTTTTTTTTGTTGTTGTTTGTATTTTACCCCAGAGCCTAGAATGGTGTCCCTGGGTGGCGCAAATGGTGAAGCACTCGACTGTTAGCCAAAAGGTTGGCAGTTCAAACCCACCCAGAGGTGCCTTGGAAAACAGGCCTGGCGAACCGTTTCCAAAACTCTATGGAGCAGTTCTACTCTGCACACATGGGGTGGCCATGAGTTGGAATCGACTTGACGGCAACTAACAACAACAACAACAAAAACAGAGCCTCGAATAGCACTTGGCACAGAGCCTGTTGTAGTTGTTAGCTGCCATCAAGTTGGCCTCCAACTCATGGTTACCAATGAACAAGATTGGACTGTTGTGATCCACAGGGTTTTCTTTTGTTGTTGTTGAGAATATATACAGCAAAACATATATCAATTCAACAGTTTCTATATGTACAATTCAGTGACACTGATTACATTCTTCAAGTTGTGCAACCATTTTCACCCCTTTTCCCAGTTGTTCCTCCTCCATTAACATAAACTCACTGCCCCCTAAGCTTCCTATCTAATCTTTCATGTTGCTGTTGTCAATTTGATCCCATATAGATAGATCTTAAAAGATCACAATGCTCATGGCAGACATTCTTTACTAGTTAAGCAAAACTACTGTTTGGTTTTAAGAAGACTTCAGGGGATATTTTTGGTTTAAGGTTTACAGATTATCTCAGGACAATAGTATCAGGGGTTCACCCAGCCTCAATGGCTCCAGAATGTCTGGATTCCATGAGAATCTGAAATTCTGTTCTGCATTTCCCCCCATTTGATCAGGATTCTTCTATAGAATCTTTGATCAACATGTTCAATAAGGTAGCTGGATACCATCCAGTTCTTCTGGTCTCATGGCAAAGGTGGCAGTCGTTCATGAAGGCAACTAGCCACACATTCCATTTCCTCCTCCTATTCTGACTCTCTTTCTTCCTCTGCTGCTCCAGGTGAATTGAGATCAACTGTTGTACCTTGGATGGCCACTTGCAAGATTTTAAGATCCCAGGCACAACAAACTAGGAGATAGAACGTTAGCATTAAACACCATGAAACCATAAGTCTAAACCTCCAAACCAAGGAACCAAATCCCATGAGGTGTGTGTTTGTATATAATCAGCCTCAGCAGCTACTTTTTTTTTGTCATTGTTGTAAATATATCACACAACTTCTGCCAATTCAACTTTTTACAGGTGTACAACTTATTGACAGCAATTACATCAATCGGCTGTGCAACCCTACTTTTAGTCAATGTGATTTTTCCATCATAGAAAACCAAAACTCAGTACTCCATAAGCAATAATCCCCTCTTTACCCCTTCCTCCCCGGTAACCACTAATAAACTTTGGTCTCTATACTTTTGCCTTTTGGTCTCTATACTCTTGTCTTTTTATGTAAGTGATATCATACAGTATTTGTCCTTTTGTGAATGACTTATTTCACTGAGCATGTCTTCAAGCTCCATCCACATAGCCTGTATCAAGACTTCCTTTTCCTTACTGGCTGAGTATTATTCCATTGTATGTATGTACCACATTTTGTTTATCCATTCATCTGTTGATGGGCATTTAGGCTGTTTCCACTTTTTGGCTATTGTGAATAGTGCTGCAATGAACACTGGTGTACAAGTCTCTGAGTCTCTGCTTTCAAGTCTTTTGGGTATATACCTAGGAGTGCAATTTCTGAGTCATATGATAGTTCTATTTTTAGTTTTTTGAGGAACTACCACACTGTTTTCCACAAAGGCTGTACCATGTTGCATTCCCACCAGCAATGGATAAGGGTTCCAATTTCCCCACATCCTTGCCAACATTTGTTGCTTTCCATTTTTTTTTCCCTCTTAGCCATTTTACTGGGAGTGAAATGGTATCTCATTGTGGTTTTGATTTGCATATCTCTGATGGCTAATGACATTGAGCATCTTTTCATGTGTTTGGTGGCCATCTGAATGTTGTTTTTGGTGAAATGTCTATTCTAGTCCTTTGCCCATTTCGTGATTGGGTTATTTGTCTTTTTGTTGTTAAGCTGTCAAAGTTTTATATATATTTTGTTTAACAGATTTTTTTCTTTTTTAATAATATTTTATTGTGTTTTAGGTGAAAGTTTATACAGCAAATTAGATTCCCCTTTAACAATTTTTATACAAATTGTTTTGTGCCTTTGGTTACAATTTTTATGCTGTGTTAGCATTCTCATTATTTCCATTCTGTTTGTTCCGTTTCCATGGATCTAGCTTCCCTTCCCCTTCTTGCTTTCTCATCTTTGCTTCTGAGTCACTGTTGACAGTTTGGTCTCATTACAGTTAATTGTATAAGGGAGCACATTACTCACAGGTGATATTGTTTTATAAGCCAATCCATTATTTGGCTGAAAGGTGACCTGCAGAAATGGCTTCAATTCCACATTCAAAGGGTATCTTAGGGCGATAGTCTCAGGGGTTCCTCTAGTCTCTATTGGTCCAGTAGGTCTGGATTGGTTAATAGATTGTTAATGGATATATGGTTTCCGTTAAGATATTCTCCCAGTTGGTAGCTTGTCTTTTCACTTTTTTGGTAAAGTCTTTTGATGAACAAAAGTTTTTAATTTTTATGAGGTCCCATTTATTTATTTTGTCTTTTACTGTTTGTGCTTTTGTTATTATATTAGATAGTCCATTATTAAAAGCTACGCCCGACAGCCTTGCCCCTGCATTTTCTTCTACAAATTTTATGGTTTTAGTTTTCACATTTAGGTCTTTGATTTCATTTTGAATTTATTTTTGTGTACAGTGTGAGGCATGGATCCTGTTTTATTTTTTTGTGTGTGAAAATCCAATTTTTCCAGCACCAATTATTGAAGAGACTCTTCTTTTCCCATTGAATGGACTTAGCACCCCTGTCAAAAATGAATCGACCATAGATTTGTGGGTTTATTTCCTGACTCTCCATTCTATTCCACTGGTGTATGTATCTATTGTTATACTAGTACCAGGCCATTTTGATTACTGTAGGTGTATAACATATTTTAAAATCAGGAGGTGTCAGTCTTCCTACTTTGTTCTTCTCTTTCAACATTGCTTTAGTTACTCAGGGCCTTTTGCCATTCCATATAAAGTTGAGGATTGGTTTTTCCCATAGGGTTTTCACTGGCTGACTTTTGGAAGTAGATCACCAGACCTTTCTTCCTAGTCTGGAAGTTCTGCCAAAACCTGTTCAGCATCCACTGACAGGCGGTAGTGGCTGTGCTTGAGGTGCACTGGCTGGGAACTGAATGCAGGTCTCCCGCATGGAAGGCGAGAATTCTACCACTGAACCACCACTGCCCCCGGCACAGAGCAGATGTCACTAAATCCTTGTTGAATGAATGAATCAAAGTATAAGTTCCCATATCGTGACTAAAACATGGAAATCGCCTTGTTACTTTTATTAAATACTATAGTTCTATGTTTGCAGATTATATTTTCAGGGCAGAAACTCCTCTGGGACTAGGTTAAGTACTTCAAGGCTGATTGTCTCTCATCCCCATTTTCATGGTCAGGGCCCTAGCTTGTAGCTCACCAGTGGCGGAGCTAACTAGTGAGACCTGTGCCCTTTCTGAGTGTTCTGTCACCCCCACCCCCCGCGAAGATGCCTTGTAACACTTATCTAAGCTCTTGGTTTTATATTATTTTGTCCCAAGAAATAACTAATTCACTTACTGGAAAGATTTAACTTAATACATCTTAAGGAACAATACTAAAAGTATGAATTCTGGATGTCTGAGAAAGCATATAAGAAAATGCTTAAAAGGAATTACTATTTATAAGTGAGACTGGTTGATAGTTCTCAATTTTGTGTTAACTTGATTTTACATCAGTGTTAGGCTAGCCTCTTAAATTAAGAAGCATACTTGTCTTTTCCTTTTATGTGTACCAATTTACATATGTTAATTTATACTTAACATAAATAAAAAAGGAGACAATAACTTACTAACTTACCTTTACTGCATTGCCACCACCTTTGGGACCCTGAGCCTTCTTGTCAGCACTTTCACTCCCAGAGGCGGCTCCCCCTTTGGAGAAGAGATGACAGGTACTCGTTTAAACTCTACCTCATTATTTACAGAAAGGCCCAACACACAAGAGTTGATACTTCCATCATGACACCAAGCTTTAAAAGGGAACTGGGCCAAACACTTTTACTACATCAAACTAAATTCATGTGTGACTCACCTCTCTTAAAATAGGAAATTTATGCCCTACATAAACCCTTCATGGGAAATGGATATACAAATGAGTGTGCTAATGGGTGAATGAGAGCTCCAGAAGCAGAGTTCAGATTCTCTGGACCAAATTCAAATCCTACCTTGTAAAGGAAAACCCCTCAGCTCTCGAAAGACTTCTAATAAATACTGCAACTACGTATTTAAGCACTCTAAATTCCAATAAGTAAAATCTCCAAGAATATATTTTGAATAAAGATCAAGTTTCTCACCATCCACATCTGTCAAAAGGATACATTCATTGCCAAAACTCTGGAGTCTATTACATTGCCTACTGATGTTTTCCTAAGAAGTGTTATTAATATTCAGATTAATGACCATTGGCAACATCTTACATTTTACTACTATGTCAACTTCTGGGTCAGTGGCAGCATACTGACTGTTAGAGGCTGGTGTTTCTGAGAACTATTATCAGATTAAGTATTCAGCTCAATAAATATTTCCTAAGTAACTACTAAGCACCAGGCAGTAAAGATACAAAGATAAATAAGCTATGATACTGTCCTTCAGGGAACTCATATTCTAATGGGGAAGACAGATATGTAAACAGATAATTTCAATAGAACACAGTAGGGGCAAAAGAGACAGTTATGGCTAGGGGTCGGTAGAAGCACAGAGAGACATTCTGGCCAGTCAAGGAAGCATTCCTGGATGAGTAGGAGCTGACCAGCTAAAGAAAGAACACGGATGAGAAGACACTCCAGGACTGGGGAACAGCATGGTATGTATAGGAAATGGTATAGCTGAAGCAAAGTATGAGGCGTGAGTGCTCTGAGATGAGACTGGAAGAGGTAGGTAAGGGGCAGGGCATGAAGGGTCTCTGGGCCTCTCTAAGGAACTTAGAATTTGTCTTATAGGGAATAGGGAGCCACCGAAAAGTTTCAAGCAGGGGACTCCATCTTACGTATCTTAGTATCTCTAATGCCTAGCACAGTGCCTGGCACATAACAGGTGTTCAATAAATGTTCAACTAAACTGAAACCCCAAAATACTACCAAAAGCCTGAAAAAATGTTACTGCCAAAGTTTTATTAAACTAAACTCTTAACTGGGTTTGCTATATATTCGCTCTTTTTTAAAAAAAATATAATTTTGTTGTTGTGGAGAATATAAACAGCAAAACATACACCAATTCAACAGTTTCTACATGTCATATATTCACTCTTGAAAGGTGATACCTTCCGGTTATCCCATCCTCTCCCCTCCTGGATGCTGTCATCTTCCGACTGCCACCTCATTCCCTTTGGTCTACCAAGGACTCTAGCATTACTTTAGGCTTCTGCTCCATCCTTACTCTCCCAACATCTTGGACGACATCACCATGTACACTGAGGAATCATCCAATAAATTAACCTCACAGGTCTGGACCTCCCTCTTGAATGCCCACGCCTTCCACGCTAGGCCACCTGCTTCTAGGGGCACACAGTGGAACGGTGCCACTCAAAACTAGTAGCTCAGTCTCTGGCTACAACCTCCTATCCTTCCAGCCCTCTCATTCTTGATTCCCGTAACACTCTTTGACTTCACAGAAACCACTCTCCCCAGCCCCTTTATCCTGCTATGTTCTCCCAGACCATCAGACTTCTCCCTCCATTCCCAGTCTGGACCCCAGGCTTGATCATCTGAACTGCATTCTCACTGGTACCCTTAACTCCCTTGTGTTGCTACCCTTCTACTATAATTGTCCAACAGAACCTCAACCCTGGCTCAAGGCTACATCTAGCTCTTTTCAATTCTATATCCTGCCAATTGCATGGTAAATCCTTGTTGTCATGGTAAATCATCACTATGCAGATCATGTCTTCCACAAATTCATGTCTTCAGTATCAGTCAGGCTCTCAGCCCTGAGAGCAATCCTTTCACCTGTGTTTCTGTCATTCCCTCTTCCATTATTCTCAATGACTATTCCAAACCTCTACCACTCTCCTCAAGATCCCTACTCAGTCCGTTTCTTAAGAAATATCCTTGCCTTCGACTTTATCAAGAAATTGAGGCAATTAAGCATGGTCTCCTACAAGCTCATCTCCTTCCCCCTCCATGGCCCCATTTTTACAACCACACTGATCCTTGCCTCTTTCTCTGTGACCCCAAGCACAAAATGTTCTTTGTTCCACTCAAAGGTCAACTGCTCTGCCTCCTTCACCTCAGCCTCACTCCCAAGTTTTCCCCATTCTGAAGAAACAAACAAAATAAAACTTCTTAATCCTTTGTCCTCCTCCATCTACCATCCAATTTCCATGCTTTTTTTAAATTAAAACTTTCATGAGAAGTCCACACTGATTGTCTCCATTTTACCACTTCTCAGTCCTCTAGTCACTGCAACCTGGCTTCTACCTTCCCCATTCCAATGAAACCACTCTTGGCCTAAGGCCAGCTCTAATTTCCAAATCTAAACAGTGCTTTTTTTAGTCCTCATCTTATTGACCTCTTTGCTGTGCTTGATAGGCTATGCCCTCTTTCTTGAAACTTTCTGGTCTCTCTGACCGCTGGAATACCATTCTACTGCATTCCCTGTATCTGTCTGCCTCTTTTTCTACCTGCCCCAGGATCACATCCTCTGCCCTCTGCTCTTCTCATTCCTTAAGCTCTCCATGGATAATCTCATACACTCTCACGGGTACATCTATACGGGTTTTTAAATATACATATATATATATATATATATATATTTTATTTTTGTTGTTGAGAATACACACACAAGAACATACACCAATTCAACAATTTCTACATGTACAATTCAGTGACACTGATTACATTCTTCAAGTTGTGCAACCATTCTCACCCTCCTTTTCTGAGTTGTTCCTCCCCCATTATCAAACTCACTGCCCCCTAAGTTTCCCATCTAATCTTTCATGTTCCTGTTGTCAATTTGATCACATATAGATAGATCTTAAAAGAGCACAATGCTCAAGGCAGACGTTTCTTTACTAGTTAAGCTAAACTATAGTTGGTTTTAGAAGACTTCAGGGGATATTTTTGCTTTAAGGTTTACAGATTATCTCTGAGCAAGTTTCAGGGGTTCACCCAGCCTCAATGGCTCCAGAATGTCTGGATTCCATGAGAATCTGAAATTCTTTTCTGCATATTCCTCCTTTTGATCAAAGATTCTTCTACAGTAGTGGTAGCCAGGCACCATCAAGTTCTTCTGGTCTCATGACAAAGGTGGCAGTTGTCCATGGAGGCAATTAGCCACACATTCTATTTCCTCCCACTATTCCTGACTCTTTCTTCCTCTGTTGCTCCAAGTGAAGAGAGACCAATTGTTGTGACTTGAATGGCTTTTAAAACCCCAGTCACTACGCAACAAACTAGGAGGTTGAACAGAAACACTGAACATGTTATTAGGCCAATTAACTGGGATGTCCCGTGAAACCATGACCCAAAACCTCCAAACCTAGGATCCATCTATATGTTAATGACTCCTAAAATACACACATGCCACCTAGATCTCTCCCTCAAACTTCAGACTCAAATATCCAACCACCTCCTGACTGTATCTCCTCTTGTATGTCCCACAGATACTTCAAGCTCAATACATCTAAATGTGAACTCACCAACCTCCTCATCCCTGCTCATGTACTGTTTTAGTTTGCAGCACCAGCATCAAGTTAGAAACCCAGTCCTAAAAACTGAGAACTCTCCTTGAGCCTTCCCCTGTTCCCAATCCAATATATCACCAAGTCCTGCCTATTTCATATTGTATATATTTATAGAATCTGCTCTCTCCTCTCCATTCCACAGCCACTACCTTGGTTCAAGTCACCATCATCTCTCATCAAGGACTACTGTAAAAATCTCCTTGCAGGTTTCCCTGACCCTTCTTAGCACATAACCAACCTTCTTAGCATCATATATAGCACTCTCCATGATCTGGCCTCTGTCTTCATTCTCACCACTAACCAGTCTTGAGCTTTTGGTCCAGCAACACTGTGCTGCACATACCATATTGTTCCTCACCTCAGTGCTTTTCCTGCTACACCTGTTGTCCATCTTGGCCTGCCTAACTTTGCTCCAGGAAGTCTTCCCTTTTCCTCAAGCTAGATGAAACACTTCCTCAGTTTCCATAGTACCCCATACACATCTCTCAACACTGTATTTAGCACAGTGCTTTACTGTTTCTATCTTCCCCATTACTTCCGGAGCCCTTAGCACTGTGCCTGACACATTTCTGTTCAACGGATAAATGAATCCTTCCCCAATGGTTGCGATGACATTCTGTAAGCATTAAACGGAACATTAAGAAACATAATAAACGTGTACTTCTTTTTATTGCTGACTTCTGACAAGATTAAATTTTACAGCTCTAATAACCCTTGAAACAGCAGCCCCAAGTAATCGCGTCCCACAAACCATCCCCACCGGCTTCTACCACCCACCAGGACGATCCCTGCACCATACCCCAACGTGTTCCTACAACTCTAGTAGCCCCTCGCGGATTTATCCTTTCTAAGGGTCGTAGATAAAATCATTGGCAGCTCTGTGGGACCACAGCCCCCCAGCTGTCTTTCTCCCAGACTCCGGGGGTCGCCTGTATGCTCCCTCCTCTCGTTCCTCACACGCCACCCTTATCCCTTGTTGTTCTGGCCGCTCTACCTTTCCCCCCTTTCCCAGTGCTGCCTTTTCCTTTGGGCGCCATCTCCGAAACTTGCCGTGGACTCTCAATTGCTTCCGTTGCCGTACAAAGCCCCTTCGGGCCCCTTGGGCATATCCTAAACAACGCCTGAAAGCGGCATCGCAATTGGCCGTTCTTACCGCGACTCCGAAAGCAGGCATATCCTAGGGCAGACCCAGTCCTTTGGCCCTCGGACCAATGGGGCTGAAGATATCTGACCAATAAGAAGCTCAGAGGGGCGGAGCCAAAAGTAGAATTGGGGAGGAAATCCCGCCTCTTCGATTTTTTGTTCCTTTTACTCACGCCCGAATCGACTCCACGGCAACGGGTTTGGTTTGGTTTTTGCGTGTGCGCGAGCTTCCGAGCACCCCCACCCCCGCCCCCGCCTGTCTTCTCCGCGCCTGCGTAGTAGGGGCCTCTAGCCTCTGCATTTCGTTAAGCGTCTGGTTCCTCCAATCCAGTGAGGTTGCCAGACAACAGGAAAAGAGTAATCGCCGCGGCGGCAGTCCTCTTCTCCCACCCAAAAGCGTACCCTTCCTTGCGGTTTTCTTTTTTTAATTTTATTTTGCAGCTGTAGCTGATTGGGTTCAAAAGGTAGTTTTGTTTTTGTTTTTTTTAAAGTGTATCACCCCCTCAGCCTCTTGCGGAACTCTGTAATGGAGAAAAATTGGAAGTAGTCTAAAGTGTCCCTCAGTAGGGTACTGCTTAAATAATGTTTCCGCCATACAAAAGAACATTATGCGACACTTAAAATGATTGTAAGGCTGTTCGTACAGACACGGGAAATGTCCTTGAGGCTTACAGATCAAGATAGAGACTGATACAATTTTTTTAAAAAAAGTATATAGAGTATTATGTATGCATATAAAGGACAAGCAAGCTATACAGCAAAACGTGACCAGTGGTGCTAGTACAGATTGTTGTGTATGCTTCTGTGTGTTTTCCAAAATTTCTATAATGGTGCAGCATAATGTAGTAGTTAAAAGCATGGATTCTTTTTAACTACCAGACTGCCTGGCTTCAAATCCCTGCTCCACCATATACTAGCTCTGTGACCTTGGGGAAGTTACCTCACCTCTCTCTGCCTCAGTTTCATCATGTGTAAAATGGAGTTGATAATAATAGTACCTGTTTATAGAGTGTTAGGAGAATTAAGTTCATATTTGTAAAGCATGTAAAACAATGGCTAGTTCATACTTGTTGGATGTCCTCAGTGAATTTCGACTCATAGCAACCCAATGTGATAGACTAGAACTGCCCCATAGGGTTTTTTTAAATAATATTTTATAGCATTTTTGTGAAAGTTTACACAGCAAATCAGGTTCCCATTTGACAATTTCTATGCAAATTGTTCAGTGATATTATGTTTTTCGCAAGGTGTCAACATTCTCTTTAATTCTGTTATGGTTGCTCCCTTTCCAGTATCCTAGTGTCCCTGCCCGCTTATCTTCTCATTTTTGCTTTAGAGTAATTGTTGACCTTTTGGTGTCATATAGATGATTCTTTAATGGAGCACCACATTCATGGGTAATATCCTTTATTTTGTGTGCCACTTTTTGTTACTTCGCTAAAAGGTGACCTCGGGATAATTTCAGTTCAAGGTTTAAAGAGTATCTCAGGGTGATAGTCTTAGGGAATCCTGTAGCCTCAACTGGTCTGGTAAGTCTGGACTTTTAAGAATTTGAGTTCTGAGGCGAGTCCAAGATGGCGGAGTAGTCAGATGCTTCCGGTAGACCTCTTACAACAAAGACCCAAAAAAACAAGTGAATCGATTATGTATGGCAGTCTGGGAACCCTGAACATCAAAGGCAGAGTTGAGGAACCGGACTGAGTGTTAGGGGGTGGGAGAGACAGTTCGGAAGCAGGGAGGAGTTGCCAGACCTGACCCGGTGAGAGCCTGAGCCCTTCAGGCCTGATCAGCTCGGGGGTGAGTGGTGAGGCAGGCAAGCAGCCATGCTTGAGAGGCATGTTTTCTGCACCGGGAGAGACCCAGCACCAGAGAGTCTACACGGTCACCCAGAACCAGTAAGATGGAGCCCTGGATTGGCAAAAGATAAGTACTTGCATATGGCCTACGTGCGGATCAAAAACACCCCCCTTAGGGAAAAACCTCTCTCCTGTTTACCTCCCTGCTCACTGCTCTGCGCTGGGTCCCCTGGGCCGGAAGTAGGATCCGTCACATGCGCGGAGCCATTCTCCCTGCCTTGAAGAGTGAATAAATCAACAAACGGGAAAAAATAAACTTCCAGCTCCCCTAAGCCAGGAAACCAGGGTAGGCACAGCTCCTTTGCCTAGGCACAGGCATGAGGGATCCATGGACTTTGAGTGCCTTTCCCCCTGCATAGACTTGTGTGGGCCCACCTCAACAGCATAGGCCCTCATTACTGCAGTACAACAGGGTATATACCTGAAGTCTAACTTCCAACTGTTTCACTGTGAAGTGGCAGGTCCTTGATATTTGACACTGCTCTGCCCATTAAACAGGGTCTTCACCTACCCACATCAGGGGCCTGAGGACTGGTGGCTCCACCCACACCACCTAGCCATCTGTGATAGAGGACCATGAATAAAAGGTGCCCCCTACTCCTTACAGCCAACAGCATTAGCTGCTCAAAGTCCGGCTGCAAAACCCACCCACCTACGTGCTCTAGGGAACAGGGACACGTTTTCCTCCTGGACATTTGGGGGTGGCTGTCAGTCCCCTGCTTTGCTCAGAGTGTGTCCCACTGCTGCAGCCAGATGCCTGTGCCTACACCAATCACCCATGCCTGTCTAGGACTGTAAGTGAGAGCGTACACCACACACTTGGTGGCTATCTACCTGGCCACCTGGGCTGAATCCATACAGGAGGAGTGGGTGGACTCCTGAGCTCACATACCTAGTAAAAGATCTAACCACCTGGTGACAGGACATTAGAGGTTCAAAGGAGCCAATAATCAAATTAGCTCATACGAGCAGCCTATTTGGGCATATCAAAACAAAACAAGAAGCTAGGATACAGTAAGCATAAAATAAATAAATATAACATTGATGGCTCGGAGACAACAGCCAATATCAAATCACATAAAGGGGCAATCCATAATGGCTTCAGAAAGCTCCCAAAGTAAAGAATCTAGAAATTTTTCAGAGGAGGAAAATTTCTGGGAATTGCCGGAGGCAGAATACAAAAGATTAATATACAGAACTCTTCAAGAAATTAGGAAGGAAATTAAGCAAAACGGAGAACACGCAATAGAGGAAATTACAAAGATTAGAGAAGAGCATAATGACAAATTTAACAGGCTGCAAGAATCCACAGAGAGACAGCAATCAGAAATCCAGAAGATTAACAGTAAAATACCAGAATTAGACAACTCAATAGAAAGTCATAGGAGCAGAACTGAGACAATGGAAGTCAGAATTAGTGAGGTTTAAGATAAAGCACTTGACACCAACTTATTTGAGGAAAAATCAGTTAAAAGAATTTAAAAAAATGAAGAAACCCTAAGAATCATGTGGGACTCTATCAAGAGAAATATCCTACGAGTGACTGGAGTACCAGAACGGGGAGATAACAAAATACAGAGAGAATTGTTGAAGACTTGTTGGCAGAAAACTTCCCTGATACCGTGAAAGATGACAAGATATCTATCCAAGATGCTCATCGAACCCAACATAAGCTAGATCCCAAAAGAAAGTCACCAAGACATATTATAATCAAAGTTGCCAAAACCAAAGATAGAGAATTTTAAGAGTGGCTAGGGATAAACAAAATGTCATCTACAAAGGAGAGTCAATAAGAATAAGCTCAGACTACTCAGCAGAAACCATGCAGGCAAGAAGGCAATGTGATGACATATATAAAGCCTTGAAGGAAAAAAACTGCCAGCCAAGAATTATATATCCAGCAAAACTGTCTCTCAAATATGATGGTGAAATTAGGGTATTTCCAGATAAACAAAAGTTTAGGGAATTTGCAAAAACCAAACCAAAATTACAAGAAGTAC